GGGCGGTGGGGGTGGGTCGATTGGGTTTTTTTTTTTTTTTTTTTTTTTTACTGGATTTACTTTGCGGCTATGTTGCCCAGCCTGACGGGAACTTGAGCCAAAAGGATTTCCTGAAGATAAACAGTTATGGGCCCCATGTTGAGGGCTTTCTCTTCTGACTGGGCTAATTACAGTCTCCTAATATAACTGAATTTGTGACCCGAAGAATAAATCTGTTGGTTACTACCATTACCTGGAAAATAAAATACTCTGAGAGGGGCCCGTTGGGCTGAGTCTGCCTTGGAGCAAGGACTAAGTGAGGTGACTTCTCAGCCTCTCCCACCCTTTTTTCCCCTGTTACTTCTGTGAAACTGTTTCTCTGCATGCAGTACAGCAAGGGAAGGGTTAGAAAACCGCAGCTTTGGAAAATAAAAGGGGAAACATTTAATATGAACCACTGTGACTGAGAAGCTGGAGCTTCCTGGTGGCTCTTGCTAGGGAGGCTGGGACCGAAGACTTGGCCGTACCCATTGCACAGGGCTTGAGGGCCTGCCCCGCGGTGCGCACGCGGGGTTGGGTTGAACAGCGTTGAAATCTTTAGCTTTCTAGTCCTCTCCACTTCAGTATTTGTTGCGCGGAGGGGAAAAACCCAACCACTTCCTTGGGAAGCGAAGAGGAGAAACGCAGTAGCAGAGCAGCGGTCTCACGACCGCGTGAGCCGGCTGCTGCCGCCACCGCAGGGCTCTGCTCCCCGACCTGCACCTACCCCGGCGTTTCGGGGTGGAAACAAAAGTCTCTCCACGTGCACCTCACACTGTTGGCATTTACTGGTCTCTGTGGCTGGCCTGCAGGTTGGGGATCCTGGATTTTCTTTGTTTGCCTCTCTAAACTAAAGAGTTCAGGTTTTCAAAGAAAACCAACAAATTATAGCTCCTCAGGCTGATGCAGGTGTTGATAATTACAAACTTTTTTTTTCCCCCTCTTGCACTAACTTTGGGGCAACTGGCTCTGCATGCCTTGAGCAAGCTGCTGGTCTCAGGGCACAGCTGGAGTGGGGGAAGAGGAGGGGGGACGAAGGCTTTGGTGAGGGGGACAACCTCGCTGTGTTTTCTTTGTGACCTCTGTAAAATGTTTGGGCTGTTGTTCAAGGTCCTGCTGTAGTTCTTGACTCCTAAGTGTTCCTAGGATACCGAATTTGATATGTTGGCAGCATGCTGGTCAAACTTTATTCTGCCCTGCCAAAAAAAATGCTGCTTGCATTTCAATATGAGCTATGGTTGCATAATCCTGGCTGCCAACAGAGTGGGGAAAAGGGTTGAGATTTTTTTTCCTAACTTCCAAAGGGTAATGGTCCTGTTTGAACAGGAGCGGCATATTTTCCATAAAATAATGGCAATTAAGTAATGCTGTCCCAATCGATATCTGCTGGCTTTGGTTTGTGTTTGACTTTCTACATCACGTATGATCCTGGCTTTCTGCAAAATGCTTCTGAGTTGACACTGTAATTATGGACTATGTGGCATATTTGCTGGGAAGATGCAGGGTTATGTGATTTCTGGACAGATGTCCTTTAAGAGGAAGGAGGAAAAAAAGCACCTGAAAAACCTCCTTAGGCTTTTTCATCACTGTGGAGGTGTTGCTTTGTTTCCCTTGGGATGTCAAATACAGGAACACAAAACAATTTACTGCTCTCACCTCCCTGCTTTTTCGAAGAATTAAAATACCAGGTTTCGGAGAAAGAGGGAGTTTAGTTAAAAGCTGGCGACGTTTGACTACTTGGCTAAGGGGCCGAGAGCACCGATGCTGTTTCAAGCGCTTGGGTTCTGCAGGGTGCCTGGTTATTGGTCTGCGGTCTTCAGTCTTCTGCCCTTTCCCATAAAAGGGTCTTTGCCCCCCTGTATCTTCAAGGTCTAAAAAACATGGATGAGTCTTTCCCTGAATGACAGTTTTCGGCAGGAGACTAGGATATGGATGGAGAAGCTCTCCAATATCTTTGATTTGGCAGTGCTTGAAGACCTTGTTTATAATGGTATCCGGAGCATCATGTGTGCAGCGAATGCAGTAAGTTGATGTACTGGTGAACAGCACGTGATGTGCTGAGCTCCTCCTACCAGTGCCCCAATCACTAGTTCAGAGTGATTCCTGTCAGCGGTGAAATTCACCAAGGTGCAAGAAATGGACAGGAGCGGGTACTGAATTTGTCTAATAATGCATTTTTTTGTTGATAATAGAACAGTTTTAGGGAAAATGAGTGATTGATAATAGCCAGTAACTCGGTCATTGCTACTACTAGCTTTGCATCCTCAGGATCTTGGCAGGCTTCTCTCCCTCCTCTCCACCCTGCATCCTCTGGACAGTCCAAGCTTTGAAGAAAATCTCCAGTTTTCCCCTTCCTTTTTGCTATGATACTTAAAGTCCTGGTCTGTGACCACCTGGTTTGCAATAGTGCAGGACGTACTGTGTCAACAAAAAGTCCTTTCCCTCTCTGTGCTGGCTGCAAGAATCCTCCAGGGCAATGTCCCCAGTCCTGCTCTGGGGCCGAAGAAGTGAAAAGGAAGATGGGCCTGGGGGGAGTTTTGGCCCCACGTGCTTCACCTTGTTCAAGCATCGACCTTGTTGTCCCCACTGCTGGTTGTCCCCACAGTCCTGGCCCTTCTCCTGCATAAGAGGGATTTCTTTCCTGTTAGCATCTTGAAGACTGCCGTTGGATTCATCTGAACAACCACCTCTTTGTGCGTGAGCTGAGCAGGCAGGTTTATGTGCTGTGTCAGTGCAATGTCCCCTGCTCCACTGCCTCCATCCTGATCTGCTTTCAAAGGGCCGGAGAGGCAGAAAGGAGTTTCCTTCAATCTCCTTTTCTGTCTTGCTTTTCCCAGTGTGTGCTCATGAACAGATTTCTTTAGCCCAGGAGGAGATTAAGTACCCTCATTTGAGGGGAGAGGGGGCAGGTTTTCTGGTTTGCATTAAGGTAACATGATACTCAGCCAGGGACTCTCGTTAGGAGAAATGAGGGTCACTGACTGCATCTGACTCCGCTTGCAGCAGATTGATCAAAGCCTTGAGTGCTCCATTTCCAGGCTTTTTGGCATGGTTCACTTCCTCTTCTACTGCACTTATCACTGGGGCCATCAGAGAGCAGAGCCAAAGCCGCCTGGTCCCTAGGAAGGGGAAGTGGGTCTGTCCTCAGATTGCAGTGGAGTCTGCAATGTGTCTGTGGAGGATGTTGTCACCTGTACGCGTGTTATTTCCTAACTGCTGAGCTTTGTTCCCTGGGCCCAAGAAAGGGCTGATCCCTTCTGTAACATAATAATCAGAATTATTATGTTACGCCCTGCACCCTTCTTAAAACTTTCAGTACTCCTTTCCCCTGTTCCCCCCACCCATCTGTTACTCTGCCCTTTTATCGGTAGCTTTATTTGGTGAGTCAGCTCTTCCAGGAAACTCAGCCTATTCCGGCTTTGGTATTTTCTGGCCCATCGTCCTTTCTGAAGATAAGGACAACTTTTCTGCAAGTGCATGCCAGGAGGCAGCATGCCCTTGAGGGTAGAGCGCCGACAGGATTCGGAGACCCGTCCGTGCCGGGGCCGCTCGCCTCGCTCTTAAGTTCACAAAAGTGGGCTATATCAAAAGCTCAGAGCACAGGACATCATGGGCGAGGGAGACAATGAGCATCCTTTGGAGAAGAGCCTGGAGTCTTCAAGGTCCCTTCCAGGTGACACCCTTGGCCGTAGAGAGGACGGTGGTGCTGGTCTGCTTGGTTATGAAAACCAACTGCGAAGATGGGTAGATGAAGTTCTGCTAAATCCTCATGGGCCCCATGTCGTCCCCAGTGTGAAAGGGATGACTGAAGCCCGTAGCGCTGGCAACAGCCATCTGGGATCACCCCAACAGGCACTTGCAGAGGGAGCTCGGTTTTCTTAGTACAGCACTCCTGAGGTATAGTAACTGTTAACTGTTATCCTCACTCTGGGTAAAGAAATATTAGTCCTTCTTCTATACCTTGTTTTTTTGCTACTTATTGTTCTGCTTACTATGGTGGTTTGGATGGTTAATCTGCTATTATTTCTGCTGTCCTTCCCACACATGTTTCCACTCTGAAAGCTGGTTTGCACAGTGCTACTAGTACTTGGTATCATTACTGCATTTCTTTCTGATGGAAATACCCGTAAGAACTTCAGCCTGAATATAGGAGAAAGGATATTTGTTTAAAATTTAACCTTTGTTTTCCTAGGGCACTGAACTTCACTCTTCCAGTTAGAAACGACCAGCAAAAATCCCCTCCAGTGGAAAACTTGGACGTATCCCTGCTCCCCTAACTGAAAGGCTCCTCCTTCTCGAAGGTGTTTTAGTTGCATGTCCTCCATTGCAAGCCACACTCTGAGCTTTACTCAGCTTCAGCTGTTTTTCTTTTGGACCTATAGGCTCTTACTATTTTAAACAGAAAGGCTTTTTTTGTTTTGCTTTTGTTTCTCCCCTGCCTCGAGAACCGTGCATGTCGTCAACCCTTGCCCTCAGATGTGAGGGACAGTAGTGTGATTGGTTTGGATCTATGGAGTTCTCCCTATAATCAGGAGATCTGCCTAAAATGTGGTCCGTGTGGGTAAGCATAGCCTGCTTAGTTGCTAAATTATTAAGAGTTTTGTCAAAGCATTGCATGTACTTGCATAGAAATGATTGTGTACAAAAAGTAATATAAAAATTGGCAAGAAAAGCTGTAATTAAAAATGTATTGGTTGGGTGATAAGACTGAGCAGGCAATGAAGTAGGTGTGCTGATTGACTCTGAGAGCCAAAAGTTTGACAGTTTGGGGGGTTATTTTTAATTAGCGGAGGCTTTTTAAAATTTTAAATCTTGTCCTTGGCTCTCTTGCAGAAAAGTTACAGTGAGCAGAATAGGCTGCTCTGTGATGTGTTTTTATATTTGTAGGCTTTTTTGTAAATCAGGTTGTCTTTTCTGCTACTTGTATGATAAATGGAACGATACAGGAGTGATCAAATTTTAAACTATTCATGAGGTCTAAGCCAAGCAAAGTGATTTAGTCTTTCTTCTACACATATTAAATATAAGCCATGATTTCAGTCGAATAGTTGAGCTTTGTACTTGTGCAGTATAATTATCTCCAGTTTTAGCAGATGATGTTTTTCTTTAAAAACCTGTGGTTTTTATTAGAAACTTTTCTATGACTGACTTGTATTTACTTTGTGGCTTGAAGATAGTATCTAAAGCAAGCATGAAATGAGTTTCTTTTGATTAGTTGTTTTTGGTTTAGATGCCTTCTAAAAAACTAGTAAATCAAAAAGAATTTTTATTTTTCTGCCACTACTTTTTCTGAAAACAGGGACAGTAGGTGGCAAAGACACTTGTTTGCTGTATGGGGGACACTATTAAGCAATGTTTTGCACAGATATGTTAAGAATAGTCTATTTCTTATTACAGTGGCTCGTGCAGGATCCTTCCGAAAGCGAGCCTCGCTGTGTAGGCAACCTACCTGATCTGCAGAGCAGAAGTTTATCTTTAATGTTGAAATCTGCCTACTCCATTAATTTTTACCAGGGCTTGCTAATTTTTACAGAGGTTTGCTAGGTAACTTCTATCATGTGCCAAGTGGGTTCTGCACATCATGGTTCTGCAATGGTTCCCCAGAAGTTTGGGAGACCGAGTGAAGAAGGGGGGTCTCCGGCAGGCACTTGGGAGTTGTTGTACCTGGGCAAAACACATTCCCAGCTCATGTCTGAACCAGTCTGCCACTTGAGTAGTCGGGATTTAAGTAGGTCGGGCGGTGCAAAGATAGACCAGTGGTAGGAGTTACACAGATGGAGAGGGAAAGTGAGGTGCAAAGTGAAGCTTGCCCAAATTCAGGCTAAGAATCTCGGAAGTGCTGGGGACGGAAAACTTAAATCATCTATCGCCGCTTAAGGCTCCAATTGCTTGAAGTCTTAAATGCTGTTTGGTAATTAGTTGCATATACTGACACTTTTAATTCCAGCCATGTCCTGGTCCATCACCTTCAAACAGTACTTGTTCTTAAGTGATTGCAGAAAGATTTACCATCTAGCAAAATGCCAAGCCCCAACTGATCTTTCATGGGCTTATTGATGTGTATATATGGGCTTTTTTAATTTGGACAACGTACAAAAATAGCTATTATCCCTAATGCCTTCATTTCAGAACGGCTGCTTATGGCAAAAAAAAAAAAAAAGGGCCTTGTACAAAGGTAGCAATTCTCTGTTAAAATAACTGTTCTAAGTAGATGGGTGGGTGAATATTTAAATATATGTTCTTTTTCTGAGCAGCTTCATGATAGAAGGAGGGACATACTGCAGCAGTAACGCTTTTGCACTGTCAAATGCATACACACTTGAATCTGCGCCAAATTCGGCAGAACAGCCTGGTATCGACCAGGGCAGTTTTCACGTACAGCTCCTGCCTGAGGGACTGTAAGTGAGGGTAGATGGTGAGCTGCCAACTCAGAACGATGTTCCTGGTAGAACAGGCTTCACTGGCCACATCTGTTAAGCGCTTTTAAGTGTTTTGTATTTGATGCGTTGGCTGTTGTCTTTCCAGTGAATCCCTTTAGCTCACATCTGGTTTGGATCCCATGCTGAAAGGCTGACCAGCTTTTAGCTTAGTTGGTCTGTCTGGGAGAACAGAGTAAGACCCTGAATTTGAAAGTTTAGGAGGTGGGATAAATGCTAGGATCACTATCTGGTAAAACAGCAGAAATTTGTCCTCAGCTTTTGGCTCATGTCTGTTTGGTTCCTCCAGCAGCCTCTGCTTTTGTACCGTAGGGTCATCACGCAGCAGTGCAGAGCGAGGTGTGCACAGCTTAAATGATGGTTCTCGTTTTATAGCTGACCTTCTGTGTTCCCTTCTGTCATTGGCACATATTTTTAGCCTTCCTAGTACCTTATTACTATAAGATCAGGTTGCCTATATCTGTAGCAAAACCCCACACAGGTGGACAGCAGATGACTTGCCCAGCCTGGACGTGGGCTTTGCTGCAAGGTGGCCAACGGAGGTGGCGATGCAGCTTTCACCTGCTCCTAATGCACAGGACCAGGGTCCAGGCTATGGTAACAACATGAAGCTGCGGATGTCGCACACAGAAATCTTCAGCTCTTCACGCTGGATGGTGCTGTCACTTGACAACTGAATGCGATACCCCTGGAGCTGCTCCATCCTGCCCTCCACTATAGCTGTGTTGTTCCCGTCTTCTCCCCGGCACGGATGTTTGAGCGTCCCCTGCCGTGAACCCGTTCGGCTTGCTGAAGGGGGGGTGGTACTGGCTGACGGTGGCTTAGGCTGTCTCATCTGGACCGTGCCGGGCACCAGCAGGGCCATCGGGCACCCTGGCACGCCGCTGCTGGCAAGCCCTACTCAGGACAGGGTGCTTCTGTGTCCCCTCCACGCGGAGCTTCCCAGGTGCTTCCCGGAGCAGAGCCCCGAGGGAGGATCAGGCATCGTTTCGACAGCTGGCGCGTTACACAACCTCACCTGGCGTGGTCTGCTCGTGAAAATCCAGAGGCTTTTTGCAATATTCAAATCTAAAGCTTTAATGCTCGAAACCACCACGCACCTTGCGGGAAGTGGGGTTTTTTGGGGAGTCGCAGGCAGGCAGAGGAAGCTGCAGAGGGCAGCCGGGGAAGGGAGAGCCGAGTCTTGTCGCCGCTGTGCTGTGCAGTACGGGCTTCATAAAACTCTGCCAGGCAGTGAGACAGTCGCTTGAATTGTATCCAAGTAATATTTTCTGTTTTGCTATCAGAATTTAAATTTTTGAGGAAAGGAGGTAGGGAAAAAGTCTAAATTCTCTCCATGCTAATCTGCATATTTTATCCTTTTCACAAAGGAATGGCAGTTAGTCCCTAAATCACCTCTTAAGTCTCTGCTGAGAACTATTATTAAGACTTTGCCATTTGTTAGCAACCCGGAGAGTCATTTGTAGAATGATGGCGCATGAAGTGCAGTTGTCAAAATAACAGCTTTTGACTGCAGAGCAAACGAAGGAGCTTTTGTCATAAAAGCAGGCATCTGTATCGTAAAACGTGTTCCCTTTTTGGCACTTGAAAAAATCCAAGAAACGTTGATGTTAGGCCTTCCAGTTGCCTGCGTGGCTTTGTGATGCTGCTGTCCGCGAGCGCTCGGAGGAAGGAGGAGTGGAAACGGTGGGACCAGGCGGCTGGTGCGACGTCTGGCTAGCACACGTAACTGGGGTGGCTTCCTTGGTCGCTGCAGAGAGCCCTGACGTGCCGTAATGGGTTTGTTGTAATCTCTGGATGAGCTACTTCAGATGGGGGGAAGGAGGGGGAATAAAGGGGAAATGAGGGATGAAAGCCAAGCTGAGAGCAGGTGATAGTAAATCGGTGGAAGAGTAGCTGACCTGGCCATCTAGCACACTGTAACTAGGGTTTATTCTTCTGTTTTGGGGCTTTGCATGCTTCATGTTTCAGGTTCTCCATGGCTGATTATAGACAGTCTTACAAAGTAAATATTACTATATATTCTTCCAGAAGTGTTTTACTAGAGCTTTGTTATTTGTTTGGCAAGTCATCACCTCTCTTTTGTTTCCCACCGCTCTTTCAGCATGCACACGGAGAGAGGAAGCTCTTATTTCCGCTCTTGGGCTAAAAAGGACACTTGCAAGTCACGCTCGACTCCGGTTCTCGTCCAGGGAGCCGACGGGGGTTTTGTGCTTTGGTACGGTTGGTGTCTAATCTCCAGCAGCATTCCTCGCCAGATTTAGGCGCTGCGGCGCGGTGCGAGTGAATGGCTCTGTCTCCCGCTCCTGCACCGCGGGTTTTCTTTTTTTCCCCTTTTTTTCCCCTCTAGTTCAGAAAGTAGGCTGTTTTCTGCCGTAAGCAGGCACGATCGAGCTGGGAGGATGTCTGGCGGTCGGTCAGTGCCAGAGGCGATTGGCTCGCAGCCGCTCGCTGATAGCCGGGCGTCGTGTGCAAGGTGCTGCGTCGATAGCTCCCCGCCGCCGCTGCGCTTCGGGAAGGTCGGGCGGTGTTTGCTGCTCGGTCGGGGAAGCGGTAACCGTGCTCGGCTCCCGGGGGCGCGAGGGCCGGGTGCAAGGGGAGCGGGGGCCCCG